TAAATAATTAGACCTACACATTATGTGCAATAAACATTTGGGAGCTGCTCTAACAGACTGACAGTCTGATCCTTGTGCACAGTGTTATAAAAATAATAAATATAAAAAGGACAGAGGTTTGATTCTGAGCTGAGGGTGAATTCTCGCTGTGTAATATTTGAATGTAAAGACAAAAACTGATGTCCAAAGAAATGATTGATGTGCATAAATTCAGCAACTTAAGACAGTCCTGAGTAACAAACTAATATCCAGCAGGATTTAGACTGTGACAGACGGTAAATCTCCGCTAATGAATGCGCTTCCATACAAGCTTTGACACGGACTGAATGAATGAGGAAATGAAACAGCGTGTAAGAGGGAGGAGACAGAGGAAAACCTAACCAGCGAGCAGGTTAGGTTCACAGACTCAGTTGCCATGGTGATTGACTCAGAGTTTGATTTACCTCTCTTTCTGAAAACCCAGAGTTTCCCTCATTTCATGCTCAACATACTCAGAGTTTTCACTAATCCTGCTTTCTGGAATACCCCTCAGGTGTTGTGATTACGAGATAAACAACAGGTGACTGTTTACCACATAAACAACAGGTGACTGTTTATGAGATAAACAACAGGTTTGTTTGGATACGTACGTCAGCGTACTGGATGATGAAGTGTCGTCTCTGCTCGTCAGAAAACACTGACAGGACGTATTCGCCTGGTTTGCCGTGGCTCTCCCTGACCAGGAAGTCTCCCTGTTGCCGTAGTAACTCCTGAGCCTCTGTGCGGGGGATGGCGCCGTGATACCACTCCTGCTCCGCCAGAGGGCGCTCTGATGTCGGGATGACATCAAAGAACTGCTGCAGGGAGGAGACAGACAGGTGAGACAGACAGACAGGTGGGACAGACAGACAGGTGAGACAGACAGACAGGTCAGACAGACAGACAGACAGGTGAGATAGACAGACAGACAGGTGAGACAGACAGACAGACAGGTCAGACAGACAGACAGGTGGGACAGACAGACAGGTGAGACAGACAGAGACAGACAGGTGAGACAGACAGACAGACGAGACAGACAGACAGGTGGGACAGACAGGTGAGACAGACAGACAGGTGAGACAGACAGACAGGTGAAGCAGACAGGTGGGACAGACAGGTGAGGCAGACAGGTGGGACAGACAGACAAGTGGGACAGATAGACTGGTGGGACAGACAGACAGACAGACAGGTGAGGCAGACAGACAGACAGACAGGTGAGGCAGACAGGTGAGGCAGACAGACTGGTGGGACAGACAGGTGAGGCAGACAGACTGGTGGGACAGACAGGTGAGACAGACAGACAGGCAGACAGACAGACGGGACAGACAGACAGACAGGTGGGACAGACAAACAGACAGACAGGTGGGACAGACAGACAGGTGAGGCAGACAAACAGGTGAGGCAGACAGGTGGGACAGACACACAGGTGGGACAGACAGGTGGGACAGACAGACAGGTGGGACAGACATACAGGAGAGGCAGACAGGTAGGACAGACAGACAGGTGAGGCAGACAGGTGGGACAGACAGACATGTGGGACAGACAGACAGGCAGACAGACAACTGGGACAGACAGACAGGTGGGACAGACAGACAGGCAGACAGACAGACAGGTGAGTCAGACAAACAGGTGAAGCAGACAGGTGGGACAGACAGACAGGCAGACAGACAGACGGGACAGACAGACAGGTGGGACAGACATACAGGAGAGGCAGACAGGTAGAACAGACAGACAGGTGAGGCAGACAGGTG